TTTCTGTCACCTTCAGATTTTTGAGGAGATGACTCTTCTAATGCTTGTTGCTCTTCTAAACTTGAGTTATGGTGATAAATTATGGAATGATAAATTGTTTTCACTGTAAAAAAAACACCAGAAATGCTTGAGATATTTATAAACTTATATGCAAACTTTTTTCCCCGAAAATTCATAGAAACATAGTTAAGACGAGAAGATTTCGAGATCTCGTATGCGTCCACGCTTCGCAATCCCTCTCAGTGTATTAGGAAACTTCATCTCAAATCCAGCTTTCTCTTGACTGCTTCCAGCCTTTTTAACGCCTATATTGATTTCGGACAACATTTGTTTCGAAAGTGCCATCAATATCGTCTTGAGTGATTATAAGCATTACAGAGCCTGGATTGATTACCCAAACTTCAATTGAAAGATGCCCTCAAAAGCCAAACTCAATCGCAGCGCTAATACAAAATGTCGATTGTGCGCATGTCGCATCTCAAAGATTCAACGTGATCATGATACAACCACGTTTCATTATTGAAATGATAGATGACACTATCACTTCACCCCAGTGTCTGAGCTGTTGTGTATTACGCACGAACACTAACGTATTAGACATTCTTAGATTATGCACGAGGTGCAGCACATGGAGCCAACTCTAAGGCTCGCATTCTAACAATGTGAAAGAACAGAATGAATGCAAAGACCAGAATTGCAAGGAAGCTCTCGCTCAAGTGTATTTTTTTGTAGAATTGGGAGGGTGTAACATCCAGTAAGTATATCAAGGAAACTTGTAAAATAGCGGTGAGACAGCATGAAAAAAGAGATAGAAGTTAGCAAATACATAATACTCACCGAACAAAACTTGATCCTCCTCCTTCATATGCTTCTTCAAATCTGACAATTGCTTTCTATGCTGTTTCGAATTCTCATGGTTGAGCTTTGCATTTCTAAAACATGGCTGTTTTGCAATTAGACTAGTTAATGTAGAGAGACATAAAAAAAAAGAAACTCACAGAGTCTTAAACGACTTATCACAGACGACACAATATGGCAGCGTTTCCCCATCTTCATCCTCTTCTTCAGTGGCTGTATCTTCCTCAGCAAGTTGTTGTGTGAGTTCTTCCAAATGAGCACGATGAGCTGCCATGGCGTGCTCGTTCTCGTGGTAGGCGGATATGAGCCTTTAAATTAAACAGTCTATGAAAAACGTTGAACACGTGAAATTGACGTACTGTTGGTTCCTCAGAATCTGCTGCTTTCGATTCTCCTCTTGTTTCCTTTTAGCCTCTTCTTGGCGCTGTTCCAGTAGCTCACGATATGCCTTCACTCGTGGATCCCGTTTTCGTACAAATGCAACCAATTCCTAGAATTTCCATTTTACGCGGTTCTTATAGCCTCAAAGCCAATGATGACTTGATACTATGTTTATGTTGGAACAGAAACTCGAAGAGAGCAAAACCTGCTTTTTCCGACGCA